ACCTTGCTCCAGGAGCTTATGTTGAGTTGCTTGCCATTGCTTTTACAAGACGCAGTTCTCTGCTGTAGCTAGGGCCCTTATTCCTCATTTCCAGAGGAATAATTGCTTTGGCTGTATTGAAATAGATTTTGTTTGATTAGGCCCTGCTCACAAGTGATCCAGATAGTTCTGACTGTCCTCCTTGTAAGTTACCTTCCCGATGATGTTTGTATCCTCTGAGGATGGCAGCAGCAGTGATTCATATTTACTTCCAGGTTACAAATGAAAATGTTAACAACGATTATATCTAGTCCCAATCAGTGCTAGAAGTACCAGCATCCAATGATGATGCCTGATTATTGTTTTTTGAGACCTGCCAATTTACTATATTCCTTGAAATTTTAAGTCTTGAATGTAAGATGTGTTTAATCTTCTGATACTCAATTCAAGGGAAAAAATAAAATGCCAAATAACCAACTCAAAAGGTTACAAACTCTATGGTGCATCTAGGACCTTTTTACTTTAAGACAGGCCATTTTTAGTACAAATATTTTATTTTTAAAAATTCCCTTATTTGCTACGTTTACTAAGTTATTTTTGTCCAATTAACTTGCAACTTTTGTCAAAGAATGAATCAAGTCTATTTAAAAAATTCTCTTTTCCATAAAACCATGTTGACTGGCATTAATGTCCATAGCTGTCCTTCCATTCTTTATCTGATGAATCCTGCATCAGCTTTTCCATTATTTTGCCCAGGATTAATGTCAGACTTAATGTTCCATAATCACAAACCAGCCCACTTACCCATTTTGACTACTGACAACATATTAACATTCTCTCTTCCAGAATTTCTGGAAAAATGCATATCAAGTAATCAGAAGTCTCCTTTGCCAGCTCTTTTAGGAGTCTTGTCAAATACTATAATCCTTCCAGCATTTAAAATAATATTTATCTCAAGTAAGAATGTGATTTAACATCCTTCTTTAATCCTGATGGAGTGGAAAATAATTCCTCATCTTATGATACTAGTGTACTGACCTAATATTTTCCTAAGAGAGAACAGAAGTATTTGTTGATTGCTCCTGCCTTTCTGCATCATTGTTTACAGGGTTGTCATCTCCATGTAGAAATGGACCAAAACATTTGTTAGGATATTTTCCCCCTCTAATATAGTTTTAAAAGCTCTGTATTATCCTCATCTTGGATGAACATGGATTTTTACTCCTATTGTCTCCAGCTTTTCTTGTTGCTTGGTATCCTGGGGTATTTGTAGATGACACTTTAAAGGGGTTTAAAGCAGGTTAAATGCCTTTTGCACCACTTCAATGGCATTGCTGTTTGCACATTCGGCGGCATATTGCATGTTAATTCCAGCTGCTGTAGCACATTTGGCGGCGTAATGCACCTTAAATGACTTTGGGGTGCTGCAAAGTAAAACACTAGGGCTGTGTGAAGCTTCAGTCACTGATTCAACTCAGAAGAGATTCGGCTTGATTCAGCAGCCGAATCTCTGAATCCAAATCGAATTGGGAGACCAATAAAAAGGTCTGAATCAATTCAAAGCCTCGAATCAATTCAGAAAAACTTTGAAGGAGATTCGGCGATTTGGGCAGTCCCCACTTGCCACCGCAGGGAGCTGGATCCGGACACCATACCAGTAAGAAGGGGGCAGGGGTTGGGGCTGGAGAAGGAGGGGCAAGGGGACCATGGGGGGACCCCTGCCAGGCTCCATCCCCTGCCTGCTCCCCCAGCCCCGTCAATGGCTGCCCTGCCCTGCCCAGCCCCAGTGTCCTGGCACTTTAAAAAAAAAAAAAAAGCCCCATGTGGCAGGACACTGTTTGTGCCTGCCACTTTAAGGGCCTGAAGACAGCAGCTGGCAGGTGCCTGATTAGGGCAGCCATTTTGGATTCAGGGCTGCCCATATAAACAGGGCATTTTGCTGCTGGAAGGCTAGGCAACAACATTGCCCAGCTGCAGGTATCATCTGGAGGTAAGGGAGGAGTTGTAGGGGATGGTTTAGAGGCTCCTGGTCCTGGGCATAACTGCACCCTGCCAGGAGTAGGTGGCCTGGTGGGGCTCTCAGTGGTGTGGGAACCTCCAGGAAATGCCAGGCCAGTTACCACCCCGGTGAAAGGTGGGTTGGGGCACCCAGCTCCCACAACTGGGTGGGTAACCCCTTTGTAGGGTCTGGAAGGTGGACCCCAGCAAGAGAGCAGGGCCATAGACTCAAACCTGTCTTGACATCCCTCGACTGGTCCATGCTGGGGCCAGGACCAGAAGGGTCGAAGGGCTGGGGCCCAACATGAGGGATGCCCAGAGCTGAGGGCCTCGGGTTCTGACCAGCCTGGAGGTGGGCCAGGGCCAATAAAGCCAAAGGTCCCGGGGGGACCACACCCATAAGGGGGAGCAGCTCAGGGAGCTATGCAGCTGGGAATGAAGGCAAAATAGGCCGCCTGAATGGAAGGATCCAGGTAGGGGTCAAAGAGCAGGATTCTGGGGCCCAGTGTGGGGCCGGTGATATTGACAACAGCTGGATGCCATCTGTGAGGCTTGGGCTGAGGTGTAGGGGAGGAACAGAGCTGCAGATAGCACCCCCTGGCATTGGGGCAAGAAATGGGCAGCCTCCCACTTAATTAACATCAATTAATTAATTAACAACAAGGCATGGTGGGCAAGAAGGCGGGTGATTCGCTCAGAAACAGGTGGGTGGGCCACAGGAAAATTGGCCCCGAGGAGGGCCCCCCTGTTGCACCCTGTACTCACTGGCTGCTGCAGTGGCTGTCAGGGCCTCGGGGGG